TCAGGAACTCCAAATTCTTGGCCAAACCACCAAGTCCGCCCGTGGCATTCGTGTGGTTTTGGGGCCTTTCATGGCATTCACTTCATCGGCATCATGCAAAAGGTTCTTGCCCATCAGATCCCCAATCGCTTTCGCCGCCGTCCTGTTGGCATTGGTGATGTTGATGGGGGCCTCCCAGCTTGTAGGACAGGCTGGGAAGAAAAAGGAAGGCCGTGATCCAACTTGCCAGGATATAGCCTGCATCACACGGTTCTCGATGCCTCGGTATTGCTTCGTTAAGTGCAATTTGTCTTCGTTGATTGGACAAGGGCCGTCGTAACAGCTGGATAGGGCGGCGGGACACGTGAATGTCCCGCACATGCAAGGAACCACGCTGGTCCGGATGCTTGCATACAAGTTGCCATTAAAGCAAATCACATGCGAAGCACAAACTCTGGCATGCGGTGCGTGTCAATAACGCCAAAACTGTGAATGAATGGTCTGCGCACTCCAAGGTTTGCAACACATTAAGTCTCAGGCATATAGTTGACTTCATGCAATGCTTATCTCATGTCTGACCCATGCAAATCTCCCACTTACTTCCTGGGCGGTTGCAATACCCACCCCATCCCCAAAAGAATTATCGGTTTCCGCTGGCCTTTCAAAACGTTCGGAACATCACAATGAATCAGCTCTTTGTTTTCGACCAGTCCCGCGGCTGAGCCCCAGGCTCTCCACAACATCTCATGGACCTCGAAGCGCGTGCCTACCGCGTGATAGTTGGTTGCCTACCACGGGAACTGGAAGCTCTTGCTATGTTTTTTTTTCCTTTTTTTTTTCCCTTTTTTTTTCGAATTGGGGACCCATCATTTAGGTGGGAATTATGTCCACGAACCATGCTTCAGCTGGAAACCCCATGTCTTCAAGAGAAGAGGAAGTGAAAAAGAAATAGAAACAGAAGGAGACAAAGGGAGAAAGAAAGGGCAACAAAATTGAGAAGTAACAAGATAACTATAGTTCTTATATTTTCAGATTCTTTGCCAGCTCTACCGGTAGCGTAAACAAATGGCTACAACTGGGATCTGAAATGGCTGTGGAAACGGTTACGCGCACATGAAATTTAAAGGAAAGTCTGGAAGCCACTGATAACCATGGCAATTGAGGCGCCGGTACTCAGATAGAGGATACACCCCCATGTACGGCGCGGTAAAAAGATGTTCTTATGAGGCAGTGTTGGTAATGCACAGGATGCTACGGTGATAGTTATCATGACCGTTATCATCCTTATCATCATCAGCATGGTCATCATCATCACTCTGACCATCATCATGGTGGTTACCATCACCCTTCATCATCTTCATGATCATAATCATCTCTTTCTTGTACTTTTGGATATACATCTCAAGTGTGCTGTTAGGCACCATTGCTACAGAGGATGCTACGATGATAGTTATCATGACCGTTGTCATGACCGTTCTCATCCTTGGCATTATTATCCTGACGATCATCATCATCTCTGATGAAGCAGCATTGGTAGTGCAGAGGATGCTACGATAATAGTTATCATCAAAGTCATCATCCTTATCATCATCCTCACGATCATCATCATTTCTTATGATGGTAATGCAGAGGATGCTACGATGATAGTTATCATGACCGTTATCATGGTGGTTACCATTACCCGTCATTATGTTGATGGTCATTTTTTAAGGAAACAAAGGAAAACACGTGAAAATGCGAGCTTTTACTGCAAAAGCCAAGGGAAACGTTTGGTTTTGACATGCGTTTTGCGTGGCAACTGGCCCAGGCGTGCGTGCGTGCGCACGCAGGCGCGCGGGCCTGCGTGCGTGCGTGCGTGCGCGCATGCGTGCGTGCTTGCGTGCATGCGTGCGTGCATTCGTGCGTGCGCGCGCCTGCGTGCATGCGTGGGTGAGCGCGCGCGCGCCGCGTGTGTGCGTGCGTGCGTGCGTGCGTGCGTGCGTGCGTGCGTGCGTGCGTAGGTGGGGTGGGTGGGTGGGTGGGTGGGTGGGGGTGGGTGGGGGTGGGGTGGGTGAGTGGGTGGGTGGGTGGGTGGGTGGGTGGGTGGGGTGCTTGCGTGACGTGCGAGTGCGTGCGTGCGCGCGCGCGACTGGCCCAGGCGTGCGTGCGTGTGCACGCAGGCGCGCGGGCCTGCGCGCGTGCGTGCGTGCGCGCATTCGTGCGTGCGTGCGTGCGCGCATGCGTACGTGCTTGCGCGCATGCGTGCATGCATGCGTGCGTGCGTGGGTGAGCGCGCGCGCGCGCGCCGCGTGTGTGCGTGCGTGCGTGCGTGCGTGCGTGCGTGCGTGGGTGGGTGGGTGAGAGGGTGGGTGGGTGGGTGTGTGTGTGTGGGGTGCTTGCGTGACGTGCGAGTGCGTGCGTGCGCGCGCGCGCGCGCGCGTGTGTGTGTGTGTGTGTGTGTGTGTGTGTGTGGGGGGGTGGGTGCGTGGGTGCGTGAGCGCGTGCGTGGGTGGGTGGGTGGGTGGGTGTGTTGCGCGTGAGT